ACAAGAGAAACGTTAAGTGGTACACATTTTACAAAATTATTGGATTTTTAATTTTCAAGAATGAACTCATTCGACTTGTTTCACCATTGAATTATTTAGTCTATTCGAATGTTTTGGAGAACCTACCACTTGCAACAAATTGTCGGGCGCTGAACCCTTAGTATTCATGACAGGAATCATCATTCTGATGGTTCGCTTCCAGCCCCAATCCCGTGCATCCAAGTTGTTTCCCAACCACGTTTCCACATGATAGAATGTGCGTTTCACGTGTTCTCGCAGTACTGGTTGCGTTGGAGGTAAAGCCGCTAATCGATGTATCATGTTGATGTGCACGGCCAGCGATGCAAATTTATCATACCGAGCATCACTGAGCGACTGATTCGGATTTTTGAAGCTGTATAAATGTGCAATTATTTGTTCTGCTCATTCACACAGACTCTCTATTTTACTCGAAGCATTGTAAAATATTTTTATAGCAGTCTGCAGATGAATGTTTTTTTGTAGAATGGAAATAATACTTTTCTTTCCTTTGCCGTACATGGCACTCGTCGTGTCACATCCAGCGAATGCGTGGGCAAATAAAATATACGGCCTCTGGTGTGCATGATCTTCTGTATAAAACAACGTATTTTTTGTACCACCTAGCGTGATCTTATAAAAATACAGAGGACTGTAATCAGATAAACTGATAAGTAAAACCAGCAGGTCAGTGTCATTCCCGACAACTGCCACTTCGCAGCCCGTAGTTTGTTTTAGCTCTATCGCTGTCCTCACTATAAGCGCGTCCGCATCTTCCTGTACAACTTTAACGTTTGAGACCGTGTGTACGCAAATATTCCGACAGCATCTGCACCAGTTTCATTTTATTTGTCACATTTGATAAGAATCTTTTTTGGGTCAATGTAACGAGTGTATTCTCGTTGAACTCGATATCTGGTGTCATATTTCGTTGACGTTGGCGGTATCTCTCGTACGATTTTATTCCTGTATACTCGTCGGTATATCCATCAAAGACGACCGAAGAATGTTCTCCGTATTTACTAGTGATGTGGGAGTGGTATATTTCACATATGATTTTAAACGATGCTCTATGCAGCCAGCAGACATTGTGCAGGAGGAATCCGCCATCAATGACAAAGGTCTTGTTGCGCATCGAAGTTTGGGCTTGTAAAATGTACGGCTTAAATATTTTGTACAGTTCGGTATTCCTTATGAGACCAAACTCGTCGAATCGAGATAATAATACGGTGAAAGTTCAAACTTGAATGCTTTTCTTTTGTATTTCGTCACCATGAAACAGAAGCGAAATACGTTGAAAGAGTACAACAGCAAAGTCGACCAAACACGTATCGTTGTTACGTGAGTCTGCACTTGGGCTGCCGTCAGATTTCTCGCTTTGCTTGCTACCACAGACAATGAAACTTTGGCAACACTCTTTCCCACCATGGATTCCATACTTTTGTTCCCTTTCTCAAATACTAGATGACAATCTGTAGTAACCATACCGATAATCCCTGTCGACAAGGAATACAAGACAGTTCGAGGATCAAAAGTACGATTTTCCCCAAACCAAAATATGAATTTCTTAATATCATCATCATCTCATTTCATTCAATGATTGGCGAGATCGACGTGTTTTTCCCTTGTAGATGATGCGACGCCACAATAATCCTCCAAGCACTCAATAATTGAGAATGACGATGGCATCACAGATAAGAATCTTGCGATAACACTAGATGTAAAATCTCTCCCATGTTTCAGATCTATACCGAAGAACCTGTTTAATGTTTGTTCAATCGTCATGTCCGTCAACACACCGCACCAAGCTTTGTCAGACGTTCGCACCGTAAAATACCCCTCCGTTGTGAACCTTCGGTATTCATCTTCGTTCATTGTCAGGTGTATATTGACCATATCTTGAAGATTTACTTGAACGATTTTAGCATAGTTGAAATGGCCTGAAGCATGGAAAATAGGCAACATTTTGCAAATACTTTGAAGGTGTAATTGCCAGTTGCCTGAGCGTTCGGCCTACATAAACTGCAACGCAATTACGGCACATTTAAAGTATTGCATTCATTGTTGTGTTGTAGGTCCTCGATTTTTTAAAATTGCCAATTGTGCAGTGAAATCCGCAGTGATCGAAGTAATCGAAGGTTCCGATTGACAATCGCCGATAGTCGGAGGTTCTGTACCCTAAATATGGAAAAAAGCATTAACGTCTTCGTAGTATTGTCGACGTATTTCACCTTCGATTTCACGTATAAAATTTATAAAGAAAATAATTCCCCCACGAAGAATCGAACGTTAATAACCAAGCG